TCGAATTTTAAACACTGAATTTTTTTAACATCGAATTTTAAACACTGAATTTTTTTAACATCGAATTTTAAACACTGAATTTTTTTAACATCGAATTTTAAACACTAAATTTTTTTAACACTGAATTTTAAACACTGAATTTTTTTAACAACGAATTTTAAACCCTGAAGTTTTTTAACACAGAATTTTAAACACTGAATTTTTTTAACACTGGATTTTTTTAGACCTTGAATTCCTTACACTCAATTTTTATCTGGTAAAAATTCACCAGAAAAAAATTCAGCTGCCCAAAATTCAGCTGCAAAAAATTTAGCTGCATGAGTGTTGACCTTTTGGTGAACTCAAGCCAGAGCAATCTACACTCGATAGAGTCGAGCAGCTTCTAGCCAATGAAATTAGCTCATTTGGTCACGTGACACAACGGCTGCGCTCAGCGCTGTTTTCCGGCTGAATGAGGAATTTTTAATCTTTTTTTTCAAACAGAATTACAAAACATCAGTTAGCTACTAACAGACAGCTATTAGAGTTTTTCCTCTTATCTGCTCGACTCTATCGAGTGTAGATTGCTTTGGCTTGAGTTCAACAAAAGGTCAACGCTTTTGCAGCTGAATTTTTTGCAGCTAAATTTTTTCTGGTGTATTTTTACCAGATAAAAATTGAGTGTAAGGAATTCAATGTCTAAAAAAATTCAGTGTTTAAAATTCGGTGTTTAAAAAAAAAGGCAGATTCCAATGAGACTGTTTTTCTTTCATAGTTTAGTTTTAAACATTTCAAATTTAATATTTTTAAAGAATTTGAATGGCAAAAAATCTCTTATTCTGGTTAATCTTTCAGTAAATGGAAAGTTTTATTCTAGGTTTTGATTATTTATTCATAACAAATCAGAAAGTGATTTAAGTAGCCAAAGGATTTTTTTTCACTTCAACAGAATTGCTGTTGAAAGAATCACATTTTTCTTTCTTGTAGGTTTTGTTTGCATGAAACAGAAGCGCATACAGTAGCTATTTGCCGCAGCTCTGCAATGGAATAAAGGTCTTCATGCCATGAATTGTCTTCTTTTTCCACGCAGCTCATGGGCCTCTGCGTGTTGTGTGTGGGAGTGTATGCGGAAGTGGAAAGGCAGAAGAATCGCACCCTGGAGGGTCTCTTTCTGGCTCCCGCCGTGGTGCTCATCCTGCTCGGCCTGGTGATGTTCACTGTGTCCGTAGTGGGAATGGTTGGATCCCTCAGAGACAACAAGACCCTGCTGCACATGGTAGGAATGCATCCTCTGCAGGGTTGGTCACTTTTGACATGTTCATTGTGCAAATATGGCAGTCAAAGAGTTAAAGGTTCCTGATTATCGGCTCAATTGAAACCATTTGGGTTTATTTTTAGTTTGTAATGACATAGATTACCATAAACATCAAATCTAAGAAATCTACTTTACATTTATTACCCAACAGCTAAGCTCATAAACCCAATTTGATGGCCTTTTTCCTCGCTTCATGCAAAGACGCAGCTGTTGGATTTGTCTCAAACAGAGGAAAAGCTCAAAACGAGTATGGCTGCATTACAGTGGTTGCTATGCAACAATCTAATTGGGTATAGCTGGATGATCAGTAATAAAACAGAATCTTAGAATTGAAAACTGAAAGGTCTGTTGTTAGAAGAAGGAGATTAGACAATCGGCAAAACAAAGGTGTGGTAATAATTGCTGTTTTTATCTCGGGAGGCTTTCCTTTCTGTTTTATTTCTCTTTTGAAGGCCTTTAGCATCGTTAGTGGAGCAGTGTTTGCATAGAAAGATCGTCTGTTGAGCACAAGCTTAAGCTTCAACCAAAAAGTTGATGCAAACTCACAGTGTTGGTGCAATAAAAGCTCTAAATGCTTAAATGAGTTCAGCTTCTTCAGTGTAGCGGTGCCGAGTCAGAAAACTGACCCCAGCCTACATAATGGGAACATTATTGGTACAGGTCAGATACAAAAAGATCAGATTCTATTTATAACGCTGATTTAAAACTAAAAATTGACAATTTCATTTTAGGTTGAGAGAAGAAGTAGAAATGGTGAATAAAATAAGAAAAGCTGTAAAATAATAGTAATGTAAACCAGTGGCGCCTCCAG